AAAGACAAAACAACAGTTTGTGCAAGTTTCGATCTACAAACAGTATTGAACACTCCTAACGGAGAGAACATGAATCTCTATTATAGTCGGAAAATAGCAGTATATAATTTCATGATATACGAAAGTAATACGCAACAAATTGTAGATTGTACTACTTTTGGCTCGGATATATTTTCGTAAACCATTCGTTTTGTATGAGAATGTTTGAAATACGAAAATTATTGATCAGTCGAAAAGGTTTTATTTTGACAAATCAGTATCGTTTTAAATGGAATTGTCAGGCTTTAACATTAGAAAAATAAATTGATTAAAATAGGGTGTTTTTTGCAATCTCTAGTATATTACAACATATTGTAGATTGATCTCTTGCTTACACCTACTGCTTAAGAGCTTTTTGATAAAATCTAATCAACATTCAAGAAGGATTATATTGTCCAAATATTAAGTGGCAGGTGCACTGATATGTTCAGAGCCGTGGAGAAGTTTTCTGAGGCCTTTACAGAAATTTTTGCCAAATTCAGAGTTCAAAGTCAAAGTCTAAATAATCTTTATTCAAATAGACTTCACTTTTGAATCGACCAACAATTTTCCCCACCACTCGTTCAGTACGTCTTTTGGCTGATAGGAAGAACGACTATATTGCACAAACAAAAAAAAAACAGGAGGTGCATAAAATGGTTGCAACTGTAATTGATTCAACGTACATTACCAGAAGTACACACCAATATATAAATGGTAATGAGACCAGTTCATTAAACTTTAGAAATAAATACAATGCATGACATGACCCATTAGAGGGGGCTATCTATAGATCTATAAGTTTATGGAACAATCGGGATGTTCCAGATTACATATGTCGGACCTTGGTCGAGTGGCTCACCAGTTCCAAGGTATAACCATTTCTGAGCTCCCGCATTCTACTCTTGGTTATGTTAATGTAGAAAATGAGCTTACTTTATTGTCTATGGTCTGGGTGTTGTTACCTTCGTTATTTCAGATTTCCATAATACAAGTGTTAAACTACATCATTTGGTATCTTAACTATGTAGGTATGTGATGTTGTATAATAATTATATTTTTATGCGTGGCTTTTAAGCCATCTACAAATGTCTTGCAATGCTCAAATTAATATACTAGAGATTACAAAAAACACCCTACTTTGTATCAATTTCTTTTTCTGATGTTAAAGCCTGACAATTCCATTTAAAACGACACTGATTTGTCAAAAAAAAACCTTTACGACTGATCAATAATTTTCGTATTCCATATTCCATATTCATATTCTCATACAAAACGAATGGTTTACGAAAATATATCCGAGCCAAAAGTATATTATTAGAGTATCGCCGAACAACATCGGGTTCACAGGTTCTTGAGACTGGCATACAACAACTACCTAATACAACTGACGTCTCTTTGGACTGCAACGGTACTCAAAAACTTTGCTACCTTGACCAACAGAACAATTACGCTACCACAATATCAGCACTCAGGGTGGTCTCTCAACTTCGAGCAGTAGCACACGGGTGGTTAGACCCTCAGACAGGCCCAGTTCCTAATGGGGAGACTCGACTTTGCCTCGTTTGTAATAGGAAGAGGGGGATTACACTGTCGTAACTTCGCTGAATGTTCAGTACCGAGTCTGGTAGTTTGATTCGGTGATAATGGTGCTCTTTGGGCAACTGTCGATAGTAGTATTGCAGTCCCTGTTTGAACCGAACGCTTCACGCTACGCATGGTACTTCAGCATCAGATTGTACAAGGCGGTTAGTCCCTCAGACAGACCCAGTTCCTAATAGGGAGACTCGACTTTGCCTCGTTTGTGATTCGAAGAGCGTGATTACACTGTCGCACACTGCAATACTGCTATCGACAGTTGCCCAAAGAGCACCATTATTACCGAATCAAACTACCAGACTCGGTACTGAACATTCAGCGAAGTCCCTGTTTGAACCGAACGCTTCACGCGACGCATGGCACTTCAGCATCAGATTGTACAAGGCGGTTAGTCCCTCAGACAGGCCCAGTTCCTAATGGGGAGACTCGACTTTGCCTCGTTTGTGATTCGAAGCGGATGATTACACTGTCGTACACTGCAATATTAACATCGACAGCTGCCGAAAGATTAAAACCATTACTGCCAATTCGGATTACCAGACCCAGTACTGAATGACTTAAAATGGTAAGTAACTGTTGCATCATGATACCTTCCAATAAATGCAACGCAAATCGCTCAACATCCGAGGACAGGTGCATAGGTTCAAGTTCAAGTGCTCAACTCGAGAAAATTACTCACGCGAGTCTTCATTTCGCGGAATGCCTAGATACAAATGCTAAGAGAACTGTTCTGATTAACATATATAAACAAAGATGGAGTGACCTAATCTAGGAAATTATTATGTTTATGACACTAACTAGGCATATTCAGAAATTATGCATAGCCTGAATACTAAATCTAGCAGCCCAATGTGCACCAAATGTGAACTTATTCCATCGACAAAAGCTCACGTCATTCCCAGGTACATGACAATGGATGTGACGGACGAGCAAGCAAGGTCATAATGCATGACGTCATCAGTGGAAATACAAGCTGGCCTCATTCAAACATAATTCCGCAAATATTTTCTCGACTCCAGTAAGCGGCAGGGCAAGTAAGTACATTATGATTGTTCCAAATTGGGACAAAGTGTCTTGGCTGGCGATTTGTTTCCGCGAACACTGTAATAGGTGTTCTTCCCCCAAAATTCAGATATTTTAAAGTCGAGTAGAATAAAATAAAAAATAATTGAAAGAAAATCTTGAAACTATCGAGTTAGTGTAAAGCGTATTATTAATTCTACAAATAACAAGTGCCCGGTAGGGACATTCTGCTAATGTCGACGTAATGGTGGAGGGTCAAGAGCGCTTCGACTACAAAAGCCTTTATGACACATTTTTGTTACTAGATCATAAGATAAAATAATAAATATGTCTGTCAATCTTGAATTGTTAGGAAAACATTGCACTAATCATATTAGACTTCAGGTATATAATACAATGGAAATGTTACATAGAAATTGTCAGAATTGAGACCCTATTCAAGTTGCTAGAAATTTGGCATAATTTCACAACCTTCAAGGTCGCAGAATCTATTATTTGACCCTTTTAACCTTTGAAGTAAAGGGACGAAAATGATTTTTTGTCTTAAGGCCCCATTTTTTATTAAAAAAACAGATAATAGTAAATATGACCGCCTGGATAGAAATGATTAACTGACACAAATCATTAGATTGCATGTATTGGACACGCGATCCATTTTTGTATTGAAAGACCCCAAAAAGAAGTAATTTTCACAATCTAAATAGAAGCACATAATGTAATAGATTCTTCAGGGTCTATTACATCTGCAGTTCCATCTCTAAATTGACGGGAACTGTTTCCAATTGATAAACTACTGGAACGGTAAACTGGCGCCAAGAATATACTTTTAGGAAGTCCTATCGAAAACTGATAAATCGGACAATCAAGAAAATTCCGCTATCTATTTATTTACATTTTTATTATTCCATTCAATTCATTAATGATATTGGCCGATAACAGATAAGCCAATATTTATTTAGCTTAGCTTACCGTAATACTGTAATAATTATTATAATGGCATTGTTATGTAACAGCATAATATATCTACTATGTATGTAATAGCATAATATACTTATAAATTGCATATTTTTTTCTCATCAGACTACATTTGACTTTTTATACCTGCAACACATTAAAGCGTCACCATTGGCACTCACCAGGAGATAACAAACACATCACTCAAGATGGATTCCGGATATCGAAAGGAACAAATAATAGAGTTTTAACTACCAATAAAACTTACCTATTATTTTTCCTAAACATATCCGGAATCCAGGTAAGTTCTACCTGGAGCATCTAGAATAGGTATAATGACGGTAAGCGTTTGTGCCTAAAAGTCATTGGTTCGCTACCCGCTTAAACTAGATGGCAGCACAGGCGCCGGAAGTAAGAGGGGAGGTAGTGTTTTAGACCGGAAACGTCATAAGAAGGATGGTGCTTGACTCAAGATGGATTCCGGATATCTTTAGAAAAAATAATAGGTAAGTTTATTGGTAGTTAAAACTCTCTATTAAGATTTATCAGTTATTTTTCACATATATTTGTTAAATTTATGAGTGACGCTAACCTATATTCAAAAAACATAAACTATTATTTAAATATGACTTGGCTGTATGGCTAGAGTACTTTTTCTAACTTTAATGGTTATAATAACAAAAATCTGTCACTACTACTAATAAATAGCGATGCAATATTTATAAAAATATCGACATATTAGGGTTTATATATCGATTTCAATCGTGTTGGCAATATAATTAAATAAATAATGATTTCTCCGGAAAACGATACTAGTGATACCATTTCGTGTCACACGAATGACCAAGTGTAAGATGACGACTATATAAGTTGATAACCAACTCAATTCAATTATTGCAGTCTTCATTATTCAGTACGTGTGGTGATAACTAGTGCTAAATAAGTGTCTAAAGCATTGTGTTAATTCTCTGTAAGAATATGTTTGAAGTATTCCAATTAAGTCATAATCAATATATCGGTTTACAAAAATATCGATATTTTTAGGTCTTAAGTAAATCCCAGGCGGGTGAGTGTCATGGTGACAGCCGCGGCTTTCCTAGTCTTATCATCCACGACGGTCGGAATAATTTATTTAACAACCTTTACTCTATGGACTTCATTTGATATTATTGGGTTTCGATTAATTGATATATTCGTATAATATCGATTTTTTGGGTATTTATATATCGATATATTGTACTATTCGAATTATCATTCATTGTGTACTTACTTACTACCCTACTACCTACCTGTGGTTGTCAGTCAATTGACAGTGGTTGTGTTGTTTATTTACCTTATCCTAACATATTATAATCTTAATTTTTGTGATTTTATTATTTATGAATAGTAAGTAATTAAATACACTGATGGAAGACAAACCAGTGCATATTATTCGAGAGTCATCTCGAAATATTTTGCAATTAAATAGACAAATTCACAGAGAAGAACAGAGTGATCTTTGTAGAAGTATAAACACAACAAGGTTACTATTTGCGATAGTTTAATTACAATATTGCTTAAGTAGATTAAAGTAGAATATTAGTCATATAAAAAAAGTTGTTAGTGAATTGCAGTCTCAAAATACGCTACTTTTATCAAAAAAAGTACTTCACAAGCTTCTAAAAGTTTTATATTCATTGGTGTTATTTAATTTATGCAATTTCAGAGTAACAAAAGAAACTGTTTTGAGGATAGTTAATATATTGAAAACCAAGTCAATAACATCGAAAGAATTACATATTCTTAAAAATGCCATATTAAATGAACCAGATTTTATTGCAGCAGTTCTCAGTAACCCAGGTTCCTTGAAAGGTCTAGTACGCGAAATATCAGGTTAGTAATGAAAAATTTAAAAAATAATATATGTGATGGTCATTCCATCAGCTCGACTGATAATTCTCAAAGTATGTGTTAGAGTCCTGGCAAATATTAATCTTATAACTATGTAAAGAAACTTGATGAATGAGTGAGTTATTTCTAGCCTAGTTGGTTAGGTAAAGTTAGGTTAGGTAGTGGTACCTCTGTAGTGTTAAATTTTCATAACACCAAGAGTTGTACGGTCTACTACGGTCTAAAAATATACATCTGCTTTAACCAAAATAATACTCAAGTTTACTTTATTAACTGCTATTTTCAGGTACCGATGTAAATAAGCAAACAGCTGCAGCAGGTTGCTGTTGTAATTTAGCCCTGGGTGATAATAAAGCTTGTACAGCCATTGCAAAAGCAGCTGGATCCTATCTTGTTACTTCGCTTGACAATCTTACCACAGACATAGCTGTAAGTGTAGCTCAGCTATGGTGTTATAATATACAGAATAAATTGTGTAGTGTGTGTATTTCTAAACCCACTAGTCACTGGGTGCATTACATGTACTTTTATCTCTACATCCTGTTACTAGAGGTGTAATTTGGTAGATTGATGTTTTAAGAGATGGATAAAAATGTTCATGATTTTTATTAATGGCAGTTATTTCCGCAACTCAACACCAAGGTCCTGCTTTGCATGCAACGGTGGAGGCCTCAGTGTTTATGATGTCCATATTGGTAACTCATTTTATTATATTTACTTTACCCATCTCTAAAAACATTCAGCTTATGAATATATTTCAATATATTTTAATTTTATATTGAAATAATGTTTTTTGATAATGGCCCTTTTCACTTAAGAAAGCATTTTTAATCAGGTGACATGTGCTTGGACATTGGGCAACATTGCAGGCTCAGGGGCGAAGGCCTGTGATACTCTAGTGTCTCAAGGTGCGCTTGCAAAGTTAACAGGAATGCTCTCGGGCCAACAGGAAGAAGTCGTCGACGCTGCATTGTATGCGGTAACACATTTCGCTTACCAAATGAAAGATGAATTGAGGTGAGTAGTTTTAGTAGTTACATCAGCTAATTTTTCGAATTCATAGTATGTAAGGTTACTGGATAGCAGATGGATCTAGAGTAGGGTAAAATGGAGGCATTATATGGTTAAAAATAGAATGAACTTCTGTAAAATGTCTTAAATTTATACACATAGGGTGCATTATAGACTTTGCCTCGGTTGGAAAAGATCACGAACCCAAGTTTAAAATCTGGGCTAAAAGTTGTGATTTTGGAATATAGTTCGAATCATTCAACCTTCTGCAGCTAGGGAAATATTACATCAGCCAGTATCCAGTGCGGAGGTCAGGTACAGGAATACATCGGAGCTGAGCACAACTACTTTGGAAACGTGCTGAGTCGCAGAGTTCCATGACTGTCTGGGTGATGTCTGAGTATTTTTATCTTGTAATAATTTATTTATTCATTACATTTCAACCAATTCATAACCTCTTTTCGGAGCCATTTTGAAACTCTTGTAATGTATGACCCCATTCTACATACATTCTTCTATTCACCGCCACCAGATGTTCCAGCGTCCAGCATCTGACCTTCGCACTGAGTGATGTATATCCTTAGTAGGTATTTCAGCATGCTGAAATATTAGAATTTTAATTTGCTTTTGAAAGCTCTTGTACATTTCTGTTACGAGCTCTCCGTCTGTAAAGTTTACCCGAAAGATATTGTACCTATCGCTGCATGCGAGAAATGACATCTGGATGTACAAAACGTTTCTACAGTACTTCATCCTACGCGTACTAGCGAAATATTTTGTATCATCACCAGCCCTTTTACGTCCCCACTGCAGGGGCTCAGGCCTTCCTTATGGATGGTTAAGGAGGATGAGCCATGACCCTCCACGCTGGCCCAATGCGGATTGGAGGGTATTAACGACTGCAAATGCAGCCGGGACCAACGGCTTAACGTGCCTTCCGAAGCACGGAGTAGCTCGAGATAATAATTTTTTTAGTCACCCATCCCGTGACCGAGCCTTGCGAAAGTTGCTTAACGACTAGGATCGCGGGCCACTTTGAACTAGAATATCACGATTTCTTTCTATAAATCTAGAATGTGGATGATGGCCAATTCGTTTTGTTTGTGCGTCAGGTCAATTGAAAAATATCAAACACTTACTTTTTCGCTTAATCATTAAAACATGGCGACCCATTAAGTTAAATATCACATGACGTCACGCTTATGTATATTTTCTACAAAACTGTAACGTAGTGAGTCCCAATTTAAATACCTGCTATCTCTTGTTAAATTGGAGTAAAAAATACATATCTAATATTTTTCTGTTAATAAATAAAAATTCTTTTTTTTTTACCCAGGAATCGTCGGTTTTGGCAATTTAAATTTTAAAATCTGCGCTAGTATGCTAATTTGATAAGTTTAGTTAGCATAATAAATAGTCATTGATATACTGAATATGGATTTAAAGAATTTTTAGTTTTCAACGTATCTTTAGTTGTCAAAGCTAAAATAGGTTCTAATTTTTAAAAACATGTAATTTGGAAAAAAAAAATGAATTTTTCACCAACACTTGAGACTGAGAGACATTCGAAATGAATAAAACCGTGAAATGCTCCCTTAAAATTATAATAAATTATGCAATTTATTTTTCCAGCAAAGAGCACGTGGAGAAATTGATAAAGACATTACTGAAAATGAATTTAACTATGGCTGCATCTCGACTTCTCTTCGTTTTGTCGTGCCATAATGATTTCGACTTATCTCCAGAAGAATTATTAATTGTACTACAGTATCTATCAGTATGTATACAGAAACATTGCAAAGAGTGTTCAGAACCTGATATATGTTGTGAACTAGTTTATCTTATAAGAACTTTAGCTAATTCTGATGTTGATAAAACGGGTGCGATGATATCAAACTATTTCAATACAAATTTAAGTTTAGAATATTTTAAAACTGTTATTCGATCGAACAATGTTATTGTTGTAGAATCATTAACTTGGTTGTTAGGTAATCTTTATAATTTTTGTGGTGATAGTGGCTTTATAGGTTTAGTTTTTGATTAACGATTATAATGACGACAATTATCCAAAATGGAAAACTATTAATACAGAATGTATATACAACCAGTATGGTAACTGGAGCTGTTTCTGGAAATCCTTACGCGATACATTAAAGCTAAGGGTTGCCCATTTTTAAAAACTCGTAATATTTATATTTTTACAATTTTGCATTCACAATGCTTTACCGGAAAATATTCTTAATGAAAAATTCGTCAGTCCTGCTAGGTCCCGGATAGCTCAATGGTTAGAGCAGTGGCCCGGATTGAGAAAGGTCGTGAGTACGAGTTCTGAGTTGTATTTTATTTAGTTATGTTCTAAAATGTATATTTTTTAATTTTTAATGTTTTTTTTATGATTTCTTAATGGAGAAAACAGGTAATGTTTTTATTTATAACTCAATAAAAAATAATACTTACCTATTTATTGATAGATTAAACTAATCAAATTAGTTATTGAACCAACAATTAATTTAAAAACAATAAAATTTTAATAGCTTTTATTATTCTATTATTATTAGCAAAAATAAATATTATGATTTCAAAAAAAATAAAGACGACTGCTCCGTGAAATGAATGAATGAAAAAAAATCCACATCTACATTATATCGAATTTGCGCAATTAATTTTGAGCTCTACCCTTAATGCATTAAGATTTAAAAATAAAAATCGAGTATAATAAAAGAAGTTTAACGTTTCTATATAGTTTGCGGTGCTGTGTTGACTGTACATAAAAATAAACATTCCGTCGTATCTCAATAAACAATCAGAACGATAAAATAACTTAAAAAATCTGTAAATAGGCAATAAAAAAATAATAAAACAGGAAAGGCCCGCCTTTGAAGAACAATTTAAGGCCGGCAGCGCGCTTGTAGCCCCTCTGGTGTTGCAGTTGTCCATGGGCGACGGTAATCACTTACCATCAGGTGATCCGTCTGTTCGTCTGCCCCCTATCCCATAAAAAAGGATATAAAAATAGACAATACACTAGTGACACTTTTAATTAGACTGTAGACTGTCTGTACGTTACACGAATATGTATGTAGTCGTCTTGACGCGGCAAGCATAATAACAAAGAACATTGCGACAACTGCTTAGTAAGCCTCTTAAAGTTACCTTACTGATTATATAATATTGTGCCATTATTTAATTTTTAATAAAACTATACTAATCAAAATGTTAATAAACTGCATGAAAAATTTTTGAATTTATATAATAAATAACTACTATTAATAGTTTTTTTTTTATTAAACAAGTTTTAACTCTTATCTTTGACATTTTATTGAAATAAAACCACGATATATACGCAATAAATATTTTATTGTATCAATAATTATTATGTTTCATTAATAATAATATTTAGATTATAATGGATAAGGATAGATAATAATATAATTCATAAATTTGACATCACTCTCACAAATGTAGCATAAAGGTCTATCCACCCTAGACAGTTTTCGGATGCTACAAACGCCATTAAGTTGAATAATAATTTGAATTAAAAAATTAATTTATTCAATGATGAATAATTACAAATATCAATAAAACAGTTCATCAAAGCCAATTATAGTTTGTCTACTTCAAGTTTGTTGTCGTATTTAGGTTTTAATGTCTATGTGAAAGCAGTAGGTATCTTTTAATGAGATATTTTAATATAATTTTGAACAACAAACTTGAAGATGGTGAATTTGCTTAAAACGGCCTCAACTCGTTCGTTACAACTACTTGCTATTATTTACTACATTAAAGCAGTAAATATAAATACTTAAACGACCTCAGTAACATTCGAAGCGTAAAATTGGAATGAACTCTATAGCATGGATTACAATGCTGGAAATAAAATTAACGTAAACGAACACTTAAATATCTTAAATGAAATTACATGAATATTATATTTTTTTAAGCACTAATCCCCCAGGCAAGCGATATTTAGAGAATACATACATAGGCTATCGCTAAACTTAGCTTTATTAAAATATCTATTCCATATAATGTGCAAAGATTTATAACATTAGAAACAAAGACTTGTCTAGGGGACAGCTTTAGTATTATACGTTCATTATGCGATGGAAATAGAAAATAATATTGGTCGGTTATAGCTCTATCTCACCTTAATTACTGAATAAAAGATGAAGTTTTTTTTCTGTCGTTCTATCCCTTTCTATTCACTTACAGTCGGCATTCGAGGTCGGATAGATCTCAAGCACCCGTTCTTACATCTCGGTATGTCGAAAAAGGACAGAACGAAGAAAAGTTTTTGAATGACATTGATAGATGTGATTAGGCCCTAAATAGGCCTGGTATCTGATAGTGAGGTCGTTTTTTACTAGACTTCTTCGAAACGAGTGAATCTAGGATGCTAGGCTAGGGCGATTTTGTGGAAACTATTAGTATTTCTCTATGCGAAAATTTTAAATGCTAATGGCAGTAAACAAGGACCCTTTTTTCTTCGTGCTTTGTAGACGGTACGCATATTTAATTTTCATTCGAAGAGTAAAAGGTGTAACTACCAAAAATACATTTTAAACACTAATATACATTTTAAAAATGATATATATCACAGGACATAAGGTACAGTTCAACACATTCACAAGATAAATTAATACAAATTGTCGAATAATATTATTAGTTGACGAGTCAAAACTAATAGGTATTACATTAACTCAGTTTTAATTCAATTTCACAATCAGAAACAATCTTTATTATATGATGTCTTACGTGGCTCTGTGATTAAAACAATCAGACATCGTTACAGATCTGAAACACGTTAGTTTTTTATTTTATTTTGGAGGTTTCTAAGATAAACTTTCAATTACAGGTTATTTTCTCTTGAAATAAATAGAATATAAATACTTCATACGAATGTCACTAGTAGAAAAATTGTTTGTGTCTAGTAAATCATAGCCCCGATTGTAGGGAATAGATGGAATATTGTTTTTCATTTTACTAACTCTAAAGGCATGCGCTGGGAGTGCTGGGACTCTTCATTCGGGCCGGGATATGTTTATGGCTATTTTTCATATTTAACAATAAATAATGCCATTTTAAGGTTTAAGATTTCGCAACGATCAAATCTCATTAAGAGCTCTTTACAAAATTATAAAAAATAGATAAAATTGTATTTATCCATTTGCGGCCACTAGAATCGCAGCCGGAATCCTCGTCGATCTAAATATTTCGAGACGCTACGAGGTTCTAGTACACGAGCTGCACACATCGATACAGAAATCTACCCGAATTTTTAAAAGAAATTCGCTATTTTCATTCGGTCCCGCTTGCAAACTGCAAATGACATATGAAATTAAATATACGATTTTTTAGGCTTCAAAAACTAAACACTTTAGTCGACAACGAGCGTTAGTACCTATTCCGTGGGCTATAGTCGTGAGAGCAATCTCGTCCTACGTGTGGTCGGGCGGCGCGCGCCGCGCCTGTGTACGCCGCGCGCGCCGCTCCGCCCCCGCCCCCGCCGCCCCCGCCGCCGCCGCTGCCGCTGAAACAGTCAAATGGTTGCCCAATCAAGTGCTACCTACGACTTTACTGTGTCATACTGTGTCATTTATGCTCTGTCCTCGCCACTCGATAGGCGGCACGGGGTTCGTGGGAGTCTCTATCCGCACAGACCCGTCCGCTAGTAAAAATTGCGGATGACATACCCACTAAACCCCGTCTTTACGGGGGAAGAACCTGCTCCATACCCATCCCCAGATCTGCTGCCTCCGGACACTTCTATGTATATTACTAGACGAGCTGTGCGGTCCTGAGAAACTGCTCTTTGATATTTATTGCTGTCTCGCTTACTTTTTACGGAATTTAAGAATTTCTTATCAACTGCTGTTAATAATTACACCAAAGCGCGCGCGCGCTGCGCTCTATTTAAATTTTGTACAACAGAACAGAATTGATCAGAACAGATCAGCTGACTGAAATAAGCAGGCATCACTAAAGTGGGAATTTCACTGGACGGGCATGCCCGCGGGCGAGTTTACATAAATGCTTGCCAAACCTCATTACTATTCGTTGGGCGCGAAGTACTAGGTGGGGGGTAACGAAATCTATCGCAGCGCTCACGGTGACCAAAAGTAAATACATTGCGAGCTTTGTTATCTGTCATGTCATACTATGAACTTGTATTTCTTTCCACTGAATTACCTAATGTGAAAACTATTAATAAAAACAGGCGTTGTCATTTATGATGTTAGCTTCTAACCCTAAGATGTTTTGCGACTAACACTGTGTCTTATGAATATATTAATTTGTGTTAGTAAAGGCTCTTAGTTTATATTAATTTAATTGATTAAAAGAAGGAAAGAAAAGCAGGTGACAAATATTGGGGCCGTTCAGTCCAATTATAACTTGAAATGTATGATAAAGAAATCCGATTACATCACTAATTAATCACAGACATCGGGGTTTGGATATCAAAAAATCTAAAGTAGTAAATTAATGTACGCAATATGTGCCACTCAAAATAACAAGGCGAATTAGTAAAATCCAACTAATTGAATCTTTGTTAACGCAGAGCAAACCTATCAATTCCTATGATTACCGAACTCGTGATTAAGTCATAATGCGACTTCTTTTAACACAAATAAGGTGTAAAATACAACGGACTAGACTACCCCTGTGCGCGAATCGCCCGATGTCGTGCTATAGAAATCATATGATTAAAATAGTTTACTTATTTTGATATTATTTTTGTTAGAATAGTTTCTGGGAATAGAGTTATGCGTCTAATGAAAAATAAATGTTGTAATCGAAAATATAATATCTGTATTCCCAGAAACTTGTCTCAAATACAGTAAATATAATAATATGAAAATAAGTGAACTATCTTGATCATAGAATCTATGTCCTGCGCGGGAGGCGAACATGAACGATGGACATTTTGAACGCCACATAAGTATATCACCTTATACTGAGATATTATAGGGTATGTTCCGATATACACTGCGACCACTGAACAGTATGACGTCAATTTAGTATACTGGAAGCCCGTTCCTTTATAGCTAGTTATACTGGTGACTTTTTAAAACGGAACGCAGTCCAGTATACTGTTAATCCTATTTTTTGGCGCCATTTTCAAATTTGTTAATGCAAGGTGAATATAAATATAGATTCCCTTTTTTCAAAAGAAAATATTATAAAATTGTGTATAAAAAAATTATTTTGAATGCTCTGTACACCTTCACCGGTTTGACTGGTAGAGAATGCCTTTTTGGCATTAAGTCCGCCATTGCTATGTTATAGGCATAAAGATTAAATAAATAAATAAATAAATAAATAAATTATTTATCAATTAAATCCATCTTATAATAAACGTAAGTATTTTTTTTTTTGTTTATTTAGAAACTTATCATTTTCTGATTCTGTTTCGACTGATCACGTGATCAAAAGCACTGCGAGCACCTTACCTCGAAATCTCCAGTGCTCACAGTACAAATATGGCGGCAATTTATGACGTCATAAATTTCCCTAGGGTACTGTAGCAGTGTACTGGCAGTCCATAACGGAACGCATTTTTCAGCAGTAAGACCACTGCGCAGTGCTCGCAGTGTATATCGAAACATACCCATAGTTAGTAAGCAGCTCTCATGTCAATATTAACAGGCATTATACCAAAAGACCTGTATGAAATAAAATTTCTCACCCTCATTATGCGATATCAATTTGGTAACCACCATTTTCAACTCTGGATACTTTGTTATAGAGTCCCTTATCGAATTAATACCTGATTTCGTTAATTCGTTCGTGCATTTATGTCTAAATCGGTGTGCTTCTGTAATTTAACCAAAAAAAATTGAAATAAAACTAAAACTTATTACAGTGTTACAGTCAAATTAATGATGCGAACTTATCTAAAATTTTCATGATATTTTTTTTTATAATATATTTTCCAACATAAGTAGCTAAAACCCCCATTCTTATAGTATATGTGAATGACAAGTATATTTTCTACATTCACCCGACCGGGTATCGAACTCGGGACGTCGGAGATGGCGACACTTTGAAACCCTGGCGTGCAAACTAATAGTCTACAGAGGTCGTCATATTAAGATGATATTATTTTTGTTTTTTTATTTATTCTCAGCCTCATAATCGAGAACCCTACCACCTTATGCGTAACCTCTAACCATAGCGCTATTTATGAAACTGATACATTTTGGATAGGTAGAATTCTATTCATAGGAACAGCGTCTTGCTTTAACGATATAAGTATTTTTTTACCTGTCTGTTCTTCAATTGGTGTACTCTTGGTATCTTCACTGCTGGCACCTTGTCCTTTCTTAGGTTTGTGTTCGTGTCCATTCGCTCGCGGCCGTGTATGATCTGTTAATGGAAACGCGAATTGATAAAATATTTTCGTAGACTAGTCATACAAATAGCACTTATGTTTCATTTACAGATATATATATAAACAGTCACACAATCGCATTAGTTAATTACCTACCAATATAGAATGGCAGGAACAGTTCGTTGAATTTGTTTCCACTATAAGTACTTAGTAAAGATAATCGTTTAGATCAAGGCAATAATTTGTAACGACTGCAATTCTTCAATCAATGGACTGATGGTCCACTGAATTGACGAAGACATCGAGCAGCATTCATATAAAAAGATATATTTTTATAAAATAATTATAAAAATATATAAACACATGGCGAAGTATATGGAACGTCGATAGTACAGAGTTAGTTTTTGAAACGAAATGTCAACATAATTGTATTTTAGAAAATGCGAATATAGGCGCACCTGATTAGTTCACAAGGTAATTATGTAATTTAAGCATTTGCGGTTACAATTTATGACTACTTGTCTTCTTACTATTAGCATAGACGGTGGAGCGGTGGATCTGCTGGCCTGACAGCTCAGGAAGCGTCAGTGGTCGCCGGGTACTTCGCCCTCGTGAACCCACTATATTAAAGTCTCTATAAAGAAAAATATATATGCTGTGTTATTGCTTGTACAGATGCTATTCTTAATGTTCTCGTGGCATTGATGGCAATTCGCTACTACCGGTAAGTTGCACAAACGTCCATTAAAGTTTAATGACTTCTTTAAGCTCTATGAATGTCAAATTTGTATCAGTAATGTCGCTTTAAACTAATGTCAATTTTAATGGATGTTTATACAACTGGCTGTATATCCTACAAATGGGTACCTACTATTGTCCATTAAGTTGAAAAATTTCTTGATTATGATATAATTGAAAACTATTAGTAAAAAAATGTTGATATATAAAATAGCTTTGTGTCAATAATTGAGTAAATCTTTTCTTTATAAATATTAATACAGATTTACTTATATTTTATACAGGAAATATTTGATTCTTTGTTTGCTTTAAATAAGCTCCGAAACTACTGTGACGCCTTTCAAAATTCTTTCACCTACAAGGTGATATGTAACTTATACGGCCGAAGCCGCGAGAAATAACTAATTTATTATATAATAAAAGTTCTGTCACCTTAGCTGTTTATAATGTTGGAAACACAGTATGACAGAAATAAAATTTCTGATACATAATACATCATGGCCATAGTTATAACATATTTTCTCGGCAAAACAGATTGGTCTATAATAATTTTCATATTAAATACCTATATGAAGCCGCGCGAGACGCCATTGATGCAATCGCGGTTAAAAACTTTTTACATATTTTTATGCAAACAGGACTGCATCTATTGATTTTTAATTAATTAAAAAAATACTTACTCTCTGATTGGTTCCCGCCAAAACTCGGGCGTGTGCACTGGCGGAAAGTGGTAATTATTCTGGTAACCGTAGCCATCGAGACCGCTCGCGCGCAAACTAGCGTGCAGCGAATTCTTCATACACTGCAACTAGGTGCGTTATTTTGACCGTAAGATTAATGTTAGAGAAAAAAGAGTTTTTCTTTATTTAGTTGAAGTCTTTAATTTAATTTAAGTAAAGTGTGTGAAACTTATTCAATTACTAATATTTAAAAAAGAACATTTATATTTTTGTTTCTAATGATCAAACTCAATGACTATTGGATCTATTTATAAAATCCTTCCACCGATAGAGTAAGTACTATTTTTTCATATTATTCAATCTCAAAGTTCCCATGTAAATATTAGCAAGGGCTTATTTAAAATAGCAAGGTATTTTACTGTATAAATAATAAGGCAACGTTTGAAATGAACTTAAATGTCTTTAAACACATTGAATTAAACGAGATATGATAGGTATATATATTATGGACTTCACAAAATATCTACCCTAATATAAACTTTGAATAGGTACGTATTTAATTCAGTCGTGCATAAAATATCAGCTGTTATAGTTTTCCAGCTACAGGCACAACTTCACACAGTCAGATAGGTATAATTAATTAAATCTTCGTAAAAAACTAGGTATCGCAAAGTCACGACGATGAGACATTCAATACAGAACGAGCGAGGCTTTCTATGAGTAATCGTGTAAGCACATCTAATTATAGTCACGTTCATAAAATTCATCAACTTTTCTATCCTACATTTTTCATTCATTTGGGTCACATAATATTTGCTACTTACGTCATGCCATGCAGATATACAATGCCGATACGAGCGCCATTACATTTTACGGTTTTCGAGGACAAGTTTAAAATACTTTCAGCTTGTTGCACAAACGTCTATTAAATTTCCATCAATTAAAAGGTACATTACCCATACAAATTTGACAATCATTAAAGTTCAAAGGTGTCATTAAACCTTAATGGACGTTTGTGCAACTGACCATTTATGATTTAAATTCCAAGTTTAAGATAGGAAGATTATTTATAAAAATGAATATTATTACTTTTTTCATCGTCGAACACCCTAAGCGAAGTTTTCGTTCATAAAATGGGTATCGTTCGCCCGTTCCGTATCGTTACTTAAGTCCTAGCACCGTGCGGCGTCGCACCCATAGCTGTGATGTGACATACGTGAGCGTGTCGCGCGGCCGCGCCGTCAAACAACAGGTTAGTGACGGCGCCCCCCGCCGCCGCCGCCAGTACCTCTCTGCGCTGGCGGTCCGCGTCCGCGCGCAGGCGCCGCACCAGCCGCTCCGCCTCCCCGAGACGCGCGCGCAGCTCCGCGCGGGACTCCGCCGCGCCCGGCGACAGCCGCTCCGCCTCCGCCTCCGCCTCCGACGCGCACGTCCGGCTCTCCAGCGACCGAATCTTCCTGTGCGACCACCACTCGTCTGAGCCTTCCGCCGAAACTGACGTCGTGTTTCGGAAGAAGCCCGATGTTTACGATCGACAGCTGTCGTTCGACACTCGCTTTATCTACGTTTCGAGTTCGATACTTCTTCCGCGTTTGTTATTCTTAATTTTGCCACACCGTGGAGTTCTCTGCATAATATCGCAAATGTAGTCTGATATGCATGCATATTGAAGATCGATCGACACATACATCGCACCCTCCCAGCATTAGTGGCTCAGTTCGACGGCGATGTATGTTTTTTTATGTATGTTTACCGATATTTTCATCAGTTGTTTATTGATTTTCGTCAATTGAAGACTTATTCACGAAAACGCTGTTAAAGTCGGACGCCTATCATTTAATTAATAACCTGCAGAAAACCTCCGCCCGACTTCAATAGCATTTTCTTGAATAAGTCGCTTTTGAAACAAGTATTATTTATTACCTTTTTTAACTTACTGCTTTCGCAGTCTAATTCATCAACTAAATTTACTCAAGGCGAAAAAAGCCCCAAAACTTTTTGATGCGATACTATCATGAATTTCAGGTGAAAAGATTACTCAATGTTATACATTTTGACTTACTCTGTTTGTGCATCCAAAATCCGTTGCAACTGCAGAGCTCTGGCTTCGGCTGCCCGCGCTTCGCTCCGAGCGGCGGCTGCTTCGCGCTCTAATCTGCTTACTTCTCGTTTCAGGTTAGCCTCCTAAAATGAAAAATAAAAGTCAAAGTTCTGCCTTCAGATTTTGATAACTTTGAAATTATTATTCTAGTTAAAAAAATTCACTACATTGACAAAAATAAACAAACAAGCTATTAGAAATAGAACAATGAATTGTCATCAGTATTATAAATCTGAAGTAGAATATTTCACCAACCTCACTATTCTCATTAATTTCTTCTGAAGCGGGCGTCGTTTTTGGTGAAGATTCCTTATTGAATATCAGTTGAAACTGTAAGTCTGGAATGCGATACACATTTTTTATATTTAGTTGATTAATACAATAGCTCAGTGGCATAGAGGATAAGTGCCGCGGCCCGCTATCTTTGTTGTTAAGCAACTTTCACAAGTGTCGGTCACGGGATGGGTAACCAAAAAACTATTATCTCGAGCTACTTCGTGCTTCGGAAGGCACGTTAAGCCGTTGGTCCCGGCTATTTCAATGAGAATAGAATTTTGAAAGACAGCCAATTTAGTTACCGCCTTGGTAGAGGTACTTTAGAAGCCATAAATACCTTAATTAATCAAGTCATCTTAAATTTAAATATGAAAAGAAAAGTGGGTGCCATTTTTCTTGATCTGAGTGCTGCTTTTGATACCGTTGACCACGGGTTGTTTTTACATAAACTGTATTACCTACTATGGAGTGAGAGACAAGGCCCTTGACTTGTTCACATCTTATTCACGAAACCGGAAGACGTACGTACAAATCACGTCAGTACAAAACGAAGATCATGTTATTTGAAACAAATTTCAGGAGCAGTAGAAAACCTGAGGGAAACTTAAACGGTGAACAACTAGAAGTCGTGGACAGTGCAAAATTTCTTGGTGTACATATAGATCGTTCCCTAAACTGGAAGCTCGAGTTGAAAGATATCGAGGGTAAAATTAGTTCTGCTTGCTATATGCTTAGAAGTCTCAGAGATGAAGTGGATATTAAACATCTAAAAATTATATATTATGCATTGGTTGAATCTAGATTTAAATATAGCATTTTGTTTTGGGGTAGAAGCTACAGTTATAATATACGAAAAGCTTTTATTCTGCACAAAAGAGCTATTTTAAAATTCTAGGTATCTTAACTGTCCCTTGTTTAGATATTTTGGTAAAATTGACTTTTTTTGCGAAGCATATACATTAATATGAAAGCTCAGATGAGAGGGAGCACAGAGAGAGGACAAGAAGAAAGGTTTTTGCGGAAAACTTGAGACCTAATCTTCTCATTATTAAGCACTGTGCTGGGTACCAATCAATTAAACTTTTTAACAAGCTGCCTATTGAATTAAAGATATTAATTTTTAAAAGTACTTTCAAAGCAAAACTTAGAGCATTTTTGGTGGACAAGTGTTATTATATTACTCTAACGATGAATTTCTTGTTAGTGCCTAGTTTGTTTATTGCATTATGCGATTATATTAGTTTGATTTAATTATTGTTATCGCAGTATTGTCTATAATCTATTATTATTGAATGTTAGAATTTATTACTATAATATTAATATTATTATTGTGAATCTGTGACGTTGTTTAGCTATTTTTTTGACATTTCAACACAATGTATATTGTTAAAATGAAATGAAATGAATAAAGAGAAATGAATAGTCCTTAACCATCCATAAGGAAGGCCTGAGACCCTGCATTGGGGACGTCAAAAAGCTGATGATGATGATGATGTTGATTAATATTTCATAGTCGATACAAGCATCGCACTATTATAAAATACGATCCGGTTTCGATTATTGTAATGCTATTGACCTCAATATAGTCGAATAATAAATTAATTCCCAGTATTGCTTTTGGAAAATAAGTTGCATTCTATAATATAACATAATATAATACAATACAATATAATATATTATAATCTAGTATACTCTGTACTTTGGTACTCTATTGAACTTTTATTTCTACCTCTGTTCCTCTCTCTCAAGGCTTCGATCTCAGTGTGTAAACCGCTTAGCATCTGCCTGTGCTGTTCCTGGAGAAATCTCACGCTGTGCTCCAGGTGTGCTACCCTCGCGGTAGCATCGCCACCTCCTATGACGAAACCACTGCCACTCGCCTCGGTCGGCGACTTTTTTATCTGAAAATATACACAATAACTTTATTTCTATCACGAATTTAACATAATATATCCAGAAAGCTCGAATATTAATTTTTTGTCGTAATCGTCTTCTTTTCTAATCACTGAAAGTTAAATTTAGCGACTTGAGTTTCCAAGCTTTTCATAGAAAATACTAGATACAAAGAAAATATTAACGGATGACAAAACTTTAACTTGTGTAACACACATATTTGTCTACTTAAATACTGCTGACGTTTTAAACAACAATAATAACAATGTCAATGACAACTTGACGACAGACTTAACCGGAACTAATGGGGAAAACCCTTATGCGGAAAACAATGAATTTTCCAACCAAGTCGATGACCTCTAGACAGATTCTTTGTTTCCGGTTTTCAGTGCTAATATCATGATACCATTGGTAATTCTATTACAATTGTGCATACTGGCTGATCGATATTTTTATAGTTCATCACTGTGCCTAGCCAACTTATAGTGATACCAAGCTTTATTATTAATTTTATTTAGGATTACCAACAATTCTACAATTCATAATAAATTAATAAATAAGAACTTTAGTATATAAATTAGTAAATAAATTGTACCCTCAACACAGTTTCACAAAATAACCGAAAACTATGTACTTATGTGATTCATCTCAAGAAAAAATTAACGAATACGCTTGTACAGTATAATTAATTTTTAAACTTTATAATATTAATTTCACATGATTTTATAAAAACATTGATATAGATATTTTAATGAAATGTTTACTACGTTTTGCATTGTTTTTATTTTGAGGTACAGTTATTCCGAATTCTGACTAGCAGTTTCGTTGAACTACTTACTTGTAATTTCGCAAATGGAGCTGTCGGCACGAGCACTTTGGATGCCATCGCTGCAGTCCACACTGCACTTATCGAGAGATTAGTAGCAGTCGAGGTGAGTCAATTAGCGCAACCTCCTTTGTTGCGAGACTGCCTCGGAGCACGCGCGCATTTGCAATGGTAAAGATTCAACATTTGCACGAACAAACAAACCGACCTTGCCCACTATACGTAATAATTAAAAATAAAAATCCGAACTCGCACGATAAACACCGGTTAAGACTACTACGTAAAATTGAGGTAGACGTTTTTCTTACGCTAAGGTCGTCGACCGTCGCGACCTTGAACTAGTAAACAGTATATTGAATTGACGATTGATCAGGGCACAGTAATTTGAGGTTTTGTTATTTTTCTCATTATTTCTGGTATGTTTCTCTTGATTAGTCGTGTGGCGGACGGCAAGATTGGGCTGCGTTGCCCGGGTGCAGGGTACGTATGGCGGGGAGGGGTGCAGTGTCTATCGATCGCGCCGTCGCACACAGGTTCCCAGTACCGCTGACTCACGGCTTCGCTTCTGTCACATCACACCGTTACACAGCTGTGGCACCCGGCCAACTCTATGATGGCTTTATGTCAATCTCTTTTGATGGCGTAAATGTAAAATGAGCTTTTTTGTTTTGAAAGTGAGTGCTTACATAATATATAAATAGGCAATACACCAAAAGCTTTGTACAAACGTTATTACAGACCTAATATGAACTTGAAAAATCATGAGCTCATCATTCTATTTTAATGGGACTTCCAAAAATAAACGCCTATTAATAAAAATGATAGGTATTTGGCGACTCCAGGTCTTGTCAATATTTATACGTACCTAATAAAATCTATACGTAACTACATAACTAAATATACTTAGGTAGGGTTAGGTTCGGCTCTCCTGCAGCCGCAATATGTTCTATTTTCTTGAAACATTTGAGATTAAATTTCTAATAAAACTATTTCCTCTCGGATTATTTATTACCTAACAGCATAACATATGAATAATAAATTACGTAAGTATGTTCAAATGAAACTGTTCGCATAATTTCACATTTTATAATTGCACAGTGTATGTTTATTTTTACTTTAAGACTAAGACATAAGTCTCATAATTGTTTCAAAGTTTTGAAATTACGGAGAAAGTTATAAGTTATTTAATTGACTAAAAAACCGACACAATGTGGGTAGGTATAATTAATTAATTCATAGTTATGGAAAAAAGTTTACGACTAAATATAATAAGTTTGTTAAAAATACATAAAATAAATACACACTATCCTATCTATGATAAATAAAATCTTATATCAAGATTGATTTTATATAAAAATACAACAATATAATATAAACAGCACGATAATAACCATAATAAAATATTTAAAATATTTCATGTACTTATGTAGTGAATCAAATCAATTATTTGATAAAGAAGAGCAACAAGTAGGCAGGTAGGTAGTTCATTTTCTTTAGCTCTCACCCGTCTCATTCGCAATATCCTAACTATCCCGACTAAATCCAGTCACGATTTGCTGTGATCGAGTCTCATGTTCCCACGGGAATTTATCTAGGATATATCGACCAATCATAAAGAACTTTAAGGTAAAAACTAAATATAAACTTACTCTGCCATCATCATCTTCAATACCGGCGATAGTCAATATAGCGGTTCTACTCCATTGAGGAAAATGGCGGGAAGTATGCAGCTGCTCTGCCCCCATACTACCCACCGGCCGGGCACCAAATAACATAGTGTAATGCTCACTCGTCCGTATAATACAATAATCAATTATAGTCTAGTGTCCACAATCTGACCAATTTATCTAAGTGAAATTATTGATCACGGTAATGGCACATTGTCGCACATATTTGTATTGTACGCTGTGTACCTCTGTGTATATCTTGTAGCAGGGCTAGTTGGGCTTTGACAGATTGTTTTGTGCTGGTGATATGATGTTAAACTTTAAATCAATTGACTCATGATTCAAAATTATCATTCACAATAATCTTACGACATTAAATTATTAGATTACCGAGAAACTTTCGGCTTGTTTTCATTTTTTGCTTTTCCTGTAAAATTTTTGTCACTTTCACTTTATTTTTAGTTTTGCTTAAATTATCATGGGTTGACAGGGTATTCTTTGTTGTTGCCTTTCGTTGCCTAGCAACAAAAGTGACATAGCCTATGACCTCACGAGAATTACCTACCATAACACGTTGAACGTTACCCTGTTACACTAGTTTGTACTGTGATCAAGTACCTACTGTAACAGTCACTATTGCCGCTTGTGAAAACTATGCGTGTGAAAAATCTTAGAAAAAATAGAAAAAATTTTAGAATCTGACATTGTGATTGGTGCATTCTCAGAATAATAACAAAAGTGTGTATCGAATAATGAAAAAGTGACGTCATTACATAGACAATATTTTTCAGATGATTTTATTCCGAAACGTCATCCAAACTTCATTCTGGTCACGTCATAATTTGAAATCGTTGAATTTTCTATAATTTTACTGATTCGTATCTACATGTAATTTTGTGTTTCTATAAAGATAAACATGTCCGAAGCAACCGTAGAGAGCGGGCTAAGAGGATTTTCGTTTATGCCTCAAAATAGGCTGGAAGTTAAATTGCAGGTACCTACCAACTTACATACTCATTTAAATCAATAATAAAGAAGAGTAACAAGCAGGTAGTCCTTCATTTACATATTTTTCTATTGTAGATATTTTGTACAATAAACGGCCAGTTGTACAAACGTCTATTAAGATTTAATGACGCCTTTAAGCTCTAATGAATGTCAAATTTGTATCAGTAATCGGTCAGTTGCACATACATCCATTAAGATTTAATTACGTCTGAAACTCTAATGAATGTATGGGTAATGTCGCTAAAGAAAACAAACTATGAAAATTATAATGGATATTTATGCAACAGGCTGTTACTCTGGTTAACAAATAATATAGAATTTAGATATAGATAGATAGATAGATAAATTCTTTATTTGCGTCATGCATACACAAAATTTTACGATTTGGATTTTACACAATATTAGAAGCAAAAACAGGACAATCAAACATTATGTGTACCGCAGCGATACAAATGGGCGAAAACTCAGTGTGTATTTACTCAAAGAGCAAAGCACTGATTTTCAGTTTTTACCCCAATTGCAAGTGGTCGCACTGTAAATATTAAAAAAATTCAAGAACTCACACAAAGAAATTGATAAAAAAACTACAATACTAACCAGACACTACAAAAATACTAATAATAACAACAAACAAGTGTCGTTCTGAAGCCCTGGCTTCGATTCCCGATCGGGTCAATGTAAAATATGAACATTACCTTGGGTCTGGCTATTATGTTACTTTTCATTATAACAGATTTCCTTAATACAGTGCTTTAGCTACTTAATTTGGGGCCTGAGCAATGTGTATGATATCCAATATATATATATTTATAGAAAAAATGAAAGAACAGCGATTACCACCTATGTTCTATGATATTTCTCTCTAGCGGATTGTAAATAAAGTTTCGTATACATTTGCATTATCTGTTAGAAAAATTAAAGTCATGAGCTCTGGCGGACTAAGTGGTGGTGGGGGGGAGCGGGCCTCCGGTCCTAGGGAGGCTCCAAATGGGCTGCTGCCATCCGCCAAAATCATAAAAATATAATAATAAAGTTAAGCGTTTGGGGTGTGCAATATCAAATTTCGGCCCCGGTCTCTGGATCCATTTTTGGATCCCGGCCTATTGCCGCCTCCGATGACTTTGGTCTGCCACTGGTCCTGAGCATCCTTTTTTACGTCCGGTAAGTGAATTAACACGCTTTTACACGGCCTCAGATAGATATAGTGGTCCTCAGTGTAAATTACTTTGTTAATATAACACCCTACACAAAATCTTCGCCTGAATTCGTGGTTTATGAACCGATCTTGAAGTACTTTTTTTTATTACACCACTATCTTATTCTGATGCATTACAGTACATAGAAGATGAAGAACTTGAGCGAACTTGGAAAGCCAATAGGAGGCAGCGACTGAAACAGCAGGAACAAAAGATTTGGGAAGAATTTGTAAAGGATCAAGACGATCTCGATACATTGTGTAAAGGTATTATCAGTTTTCTCAATGTTTAGATAATGTATTTGCTAGACTAGCACTTTCCGTGTATGATTGCAGGGGTTTAGTAATATTCGCAAAGGGTGGTTGATACATGTGTGGCCAAAAATGTATTCATATCATTAGGCAGAAATAATGTATTATCAAGGAGAGTTTATCGTCGACTTTGCAGTTACGTATCCTTAAGTTCTTCGGGCACATCACCCGCAATCCGGACTGTGGCCCGTTCTTTCTGTGCATTCTATTTATAATAACGCCTGTGCCACCAGTAGTAGGATTAATAGTCTGATAACGATGATAATTTATTATTCGATAAAGACTTAACTTATATTTTGGCATGAAGTTTCGTGACACAAATCTTAATTTCGAAAAATAAAAAATCATCAGTTTTATCAACAGTATCAGATTAGGCTCATTTCTAATGATTACAGACGATCCTTATCAATTTTTGGAGCAACTACCAGAGTCCTGCCTAAAAGAACTAATGGAAGCTGAACTGGAGAAAATGAAGAAAGAAAAAGCATCAGAAAATTTGATGGAAGTGAGTTTTTTGGAAAATAGTTGAAAAATTCAACCATCTCATGTAATCTAGAAGGGATTCAAACCTGCTAACCGGGATACAGAATTTCTTAAACAGCAGTTAATCTGCCACCACAATCTAATTAGTCTTCTTATACAGATCAAAGAAATAACATCTCTACCGACTTAGCTAACCAGTGACCCGAGGGAGACTCCCGAATGATGTGTTGAAATAAAGTATCTAAGAAAATAATTCTTCGATAAACTTTGTTGCTTAAAAGTACCGCAAAACTAGCGCTGTCATTGGTATACGTCCTTCCGCTTCACGTTCCTAGTTGCGATCCAATACAGTGTGTTCCTACATATTTTTACTATGTTATTTTTATGTGTGTACATAGGACCAAAATCAAGAAGGTAACGGTGATGTATCGCGGCAAACTAATTCTAATGACTTGGTCACTGTGACGTTCTCTGAAGAAGTTGAGAAGAATGACGAACGTTGCGTCATGCTTCACATATTCGATGATGAAAAAGATGATGATGAGAAGGGTGAACAAATGGATAACGATCACTCGGGTGAGTGTACAATGCAGTTGGTAAGTCATTTTATCAATATTTTAAAAATAAGCCTGAAGTGGTGAACATAGTAAACTTACGATTGAATTGAATTGAAAAGTTTTGGTACCTATTGTTCAATTAGGTGCCGAGGATGAAGCACTAAACGAGTCTTCTAGTCCGTGCACTGTGCGAGAGAGACAATCGTCGCCTTCATATCAATCGCCCCCACAGCGTAGCCCCGTCCGTAAACGCAGTAAGTTTCAAGTCTTTAAAAAACTGAGCGTAGAACATTACGGACTCATTTGTTTCGATCAAAGACTTATATTTATGGCACTAAACAAGGCATTCGGTGCTGTAGAATGAATCGCTTAAGTGCTGTGTCAACCAGTGCCGGCTCGAAACTTAGCGACTTACGCAAAATACCTATGTGTCATATTGCCAACGACAAAAGAAAGTGCTTAGGTAGGTGTTAATTAGAAAAAAATGTACTTTTGAATACTACGGACATGGATTCGTGTTCAAAGAATAAAAGTGTTTTAGCTGCTGGATTTTTAAGGTTCAAGTAATTAGTGCAATCATAATCTTTTGCTATGCTATGCTATGCCGCCTCCCAAATACGAGCGCTACAGCAAGAAGGTGACTTCTTTGCTTCGAATCATCGCATATTTTAACTATTTAATTACTCGTCCGGTAATTTTATTTTGCGTTAACTCGTAGGGGAGACCGAGGTGAGTTGTGACAGAGGTGAGTTGTGACAAGGAGGATTTCTCTCTACCTATTATAGCAAGCGAGATGGCTTTAACGCTTGTTTGTCGTTCTCGACACGCGCTACACGACTCAGTACCTGTCGACGGTGCATATGGCACAGTTGCGTAAATATATCGTCAGTGTACAAAAAATTGCGAAAAGTAAGTTTTTCTTCAAAATATTATTTGAATATATATCATATCTTAGTATATGTGCATTGATGTGTTATTTTTTCTTAAGTTATGTAGTTATTTAAGTCTCAATACGTGACACTGATTTTTTGTATGCGCATCGTGTTTAGAAAATATGAATTATTATTCGGACCAAGACGTCATTTTGAACACCTAGGCGAGTTGTGACAGCCTGTCACAACTCTCCTATCTTATTCCATATTTCTGCTGGGCTATTTTTACAATGTTTTTTTTTTAACTTTAGATGTTTGTTGTTGTGTTAGTAGCTACTTAAGGTGTATAATGGCATACCACATACTTATTTTACACACAAATAACTATACAGAGACTGAAAATCTAAGAATGCTAAGAAGCATGTCTTAAGCGAAGAAAAAATAAAGAAACCTAAAAAAGCAAAGAAGACTAATAAGAAGAATAGAACAAGTGATGAAGAAGATGCAGAAAATAATTGCTTTTATTTGGTTTGCCTTAAAGCCTATGCAGACAGCAGATCGAATGATCAGTGGGTCCAAAGCCTTGAATGCAAAGGCTAGGCACACGTAGATTGTACTGGGGACGAGCTGCATTACGTTTGGCATAATTGTGAATCTGATTAGATTAAGATATTATACTAATTATAACAATAATATGATTGACCTCAAAGCGATACCATATTAAGTTAATGAAAATATTATAATTACTTGTTATGAGAATATTAATACTATGTTGTTTTAGTTGGTAGGTATTAAAAGATGATTAATCAAGTCAAATCAAATCAATCTTTATTGTTGATCGCAGGTTATATAAAGATATTGGATGCAAGGACTGAATAGTTAGTAATTGTCAACTAATCTAATCAATAACATGTTATGTCAAAAATTCAATTAATTCATTAAGTATTTATACATTTACAAAGTACTGTCAGCTAGATAGTCGTTTACACTATAATATGCTTTAGCTACTAATAATTTACAAAGTTTTCTATTAAAAACATTACAATTATCCAGATAACGTATTGTTTTCGGAATTTTATCAAAAATTTTTGGAGCCATACAAAAGATACTTTTGTTCAACACAGCTGTCTTAGAGGGTATCGTACACAATTTGTCTCGATGACGCAATCTCGTCTTATTTTCAAATAGTTGTTGATTCTGTTTGACAAAAATACCAACTTCGAATATATAGATTGATGGCAGGGTCATAATATTTAGTTTAATAAAATATGGCCTACAGGTATCCGTACTCTGTAAATGACATATGCTCCTAACACATTTTTTCTGGGCTCTAAAGGCAGTTACAGAATCAGTCGAATATCCCCAAAATATAATGCCGTATCGAACAGTTGAAACTACGTACGCGTGATAAGCTGTAAGGACCGTGCACTGATTCGCGATCCTACTAAGTTTGTACAGTGCACAAGAATACTGGGACAACTTTTTGCAAACATGTTCAGTGTGTGTTTTCCAAGTCAAATTTATTATTATAGTACTGATTAAAGTACTGATTTGATAAAAAAACGTGCTTGATTTATTTATGTCGTATATAATGGTATTTTTATGTCTTATAGCTTAAATACAATGATGTCACAACTTACCTCGGTACCTGTCACAACTTACCTCGGTAGTAGGAGAGTTGTGACAAGGGGAGTGGACTTGAATTTTGTTATTTTTTTCAGAAACTATTATACTTTAATTAATTTTAGTGATGGTTTTGAAAACAGAAGGAATGGCGCTAAACTAATTCACATGAGTCATAACTGTGGAATGTTTCTTAAGCGAGATAGAGACCCTTATGTAAAAATTGTCACAACTCTCCTAGGTCTCCCCTACATAAGATATTTGTTTTGTTTGTATAGTTAGTGTAAAGGGCAATTTTGATTAAATGCGTATTGTGTTTAATTGTGTTAAATAATTACTAATTATTTATTCACATAATATAATATTTATTTAATTGATTGACATAATAATGATTAGTTGCTATGGGAACTCAACTTTCTTTTAATTGAAACTTCAGAAGAGTCATACTAAGGGCCAGTTTTTTGATCCGTAGTCAAATGTCATTTCACCATTTGTTAACTTGACTATAGTTAAAACAATAACAAGTTGTTAACTCGCTATTTCGTTTTTTGATGCCAAATTTAATCATAGTCAAATTTAACCACTGGTCAATTTGTTGCCAGCACAATGAGTCGTTTTTTCGCTATACATTGACATGGGTAATTTTTTTCTAGGTGACAACACTAACGGTTTGAATGAACGGAGCGAACTATATACCATTTTTGACATTAGGATTTTGTTCTAAATATCAAATAGACGAAAGAAATCTATAGATTATCAAAGAGAGTGGATGTTTATGGTTGTTCTGTTGTGTGCACTATGTGTTATTTTTCAGGAAGTATAAGGCAATTCTTTAATAATGTTAGAAAGCAACAAAGATATTTTAAACTTAACTTTTTATAAAAAGCATATATTTGTTTTTTATTTATCCTATAGAGAAATACGTGAAAAGAATATAGTATCTAGTATCCAAGGTGGGATTGTAACGTTGGAAAATAAATCAAGGACTATGTATTTTATTTACTGTAGGCATACTTACCTTTTGTATTGTCTATTCGTGGAATTTATAAGATTTTTAATAATTGAATAATTTGGCATCTGCCCGTGGAAACAAAAAAATTCTTTCTATATAGTACAAATATACTAAGGATGATCAAGATAAAAATATAACTTATTTTCAATAACCCTATAACTAAAAAATGACAATTAATATTTTCCTATGAAATTGCATCATAAAACGAAATCCCAAAAATAGCTAATGTACAAATTCACTATGAAATCATGTAGGTTATAAAAACAACGTAAAAAACAATAACAAGGGACCAAGTAAATACAACGCAGTTGTACATCTGTTCTTTTAACAATTGGTCATTTACTTAACCTAGCTTCCAGTGATGGTTAAATTTTTTGACAAATGGTTGTAATTCTGACAATTGGTTAGGCTAACTATTAATCAAAAAACATATTTTTCTGATATTTAACCATTTGTCAAAGATTTTAACAAATGGTTGAGTTAACCACGGATCAAAAAACTGGCCCTAAGTAGGTTAGTATATAACAAATTGGAAAAGGATACTGTTAAAAATAGCTATATAAATAACCCATTATTTTGTTGTAATATGTGAAAGAAAAAAATAGTTGATGTGGTTTTTGCACGATAGATAGAAATTTACCTACTATCGGTAACTTTTTTGTTGATCTATAAAGAGAAACAATCACACCATACATTAATATGTTACAATTTAAAATATTTTTGCAGAATTTTCGATGAAAGATGAAAGGTCGTTTCAATTTTTCTGACATAAAACTTGAGCTTTTTGGACAACACACCTTGAAATCATTCTATATGTTGTTGAATATCACATTATAATTCGTTACGTGTAGTTTAAAAGATCCCAGCGTATAGACAGTGGAAAGTGACTTTTATTTTATACTATGTAGGTAGTGATACATTGGATTCTCTATAAATGTAGAAGTTAACTTTTAAAACTCACTCCTGAATTTGTATTTTTTTGACAACTAAAGTTTGTCCATTGGAGGGAAAGGGATGCAAGGTTTATAATACACAAATATCGATATATTTTAAGTGTCGTTGAGAGATTTCCCGTCTACGTACCCGTTCATGGACGTTGTTTTTGTTAATATGTTAGCATATGAATGAAATTATGTCGTCTATACGTTGAACGAGGTTACGACTAATTTTGATTTTTGGCTATTTAAATAGTGTATAAGCAGCGAAATGTGTATATTATGGTTTGACATATTATATTATAGATAAATCGCCGGAGAACGTCACCAATATGATCGAGAGCAGTATATACTGCGCTAAAATCAAAGACCTGAGGCCGAAGATTAACAACGAAATGTTGGCTATTATGTATGTACCTTTATAATTTGTTACTTGTATTCATAAATGTAAAAATCTAATTGTTTGTCCATCTCTTATACATTAAAAGCGATGGACTATGCATTCACGTAAATTACTACTGATCGATTGCACTCTAGGAATCGGAAGAATTTAATTTTAAAATTATTTGTATAGAAATACATGCACTTCTTCGCACCAGTAGATACGCGCTGAATCGCCAAAATTCATCCATCCAGATGTAAACAAAATTAGTTTTTCCGCTTTCTTCCTCCCTCCCTCGGACTACCTCGTACTAGGTTTACCTTTGCTTAGTGTCTGTTTAATAATATGAATTTTGACTAATACTAAGTGCAGTCTCAGCGTAAATTTACTCCAACGCTAAATCTTGTTTATTGATAACACTGTATGACATCATAACAAATAGTTGTGTGTTTTGTGCATGTTATGTTCACATCCAGTAGATTGCAATGTTTCATGAGCATTAAATTAAAAATAATATATATATTAACCTGCACGGTAAGCATAATAACCAGTTTTGTAGGCTAAATAAAATTAAAAGAAAAAAAAAACTTTAAAATACACCATGGAGGCATAATAGCTAACTTCGAACTTCAATAATTACAGTTATGCTTACACTCGTTTGCTGCAGAAACTCATTAGAACAACGTGACTTCTGCGGAATCGACCCCGAGGAGCTGGCGAAGATGTGCCGCCGCTCCACCGAGTTCTGCGCAAGGTTCAACCGCATCTACATGTACCAGCTGCACAGGCAGGTGGGAATGCACACAGAATTAATTATAATGTTAAAAGAACGGGAGAGGACCATGGACTCTCACATGGCTCGACCACGTCATCTTTCAACATCTCGTCTAGTTGTTTAACCAGAATCCGTCGCTTCTCTGTTGACATTCTGTAGTATCTTTGACGTATGGGGGCAGCATCCCCAGTGTCAATTGCATGAGTAACTATAGTTGTCCGACCTAAGCCACGTTCCTCATATGAGATTTCTCGAAACTGTTGAATTAAATTGTCAGCAATACATTTCTTTTGTTCCGGCATTTATTCATAAGGAAGAATATGAAGATCATCTAATGTTGTTTCAGCAACAGAGGAAATCTCAGAATCCTTACAAAACTTGATAGTATCTAGGTGTTTAGGAAATAACCCAAAAGCGCGCCAAAAATCAACACCCAATATAAGAGAGTTTTTTATCTTAGGTATAACGAAAGCCTCAATATTGTGTTTTTTTTCTTGGAACTCTATAGGTAAATAAATAACACCTATGCAAGGTACCTTTTCTCCACCTGCAGTGACGAATTGAGGCTGAGATGTCCCCTGCAGCTCAAAACCTAATTTCATCAATCGCTCGTGAGATGCGTTACCCAGGATAGTAACGCATAAACCGGTATCTAAAAGTCCCGTTAATGGACAATTTAAAACACTAATACCAACATAAGGTCTAGTTTTATCACTATTATTTTTTTTATTGTTACCGATTGATGCAACCGAAGTGAAGGTATTAAAATTTCTTACAAATTCTAACCATTTCGTCCATTCCCTATCGCGATCGCACCAATCGGAGCATTTTAGTTTTTGCTTGAACATTCTTATTATTAGGATTGCAATCAGGACACTCTGGGTAACGTACATCTTTTTTTCCACATTTGAAACAGATCAAATGGCGTTCCCGCTTACAATTCCCAAGTGAGTGGGAGCTCGATCTACATCTAGGACAGAACACTGATCTAGAAGGTTCGTCAGATGGTGTTGCTATATCACGATTAGGAACATGATCACCACCTCTTTGACGTGCTAGGTTTGAATTAAAATAATTGCGTTTGCTTGGCCCAGGTGTGAAATTATTGAAATTTTCATTAGATGAATAATTAATTTTTGAACCATGCTGATTGTGAGGACGTTCATTGAAATTCTGTTGCTGATGAAAACCAGGTTTAAATCTATAAGCAAACTCGGGAGCAAGTGTACTACTAGTTATTTTAGGTGGCTCACGAAATTGTGTAAATCTGGATGAAACGGTTTCATAGTTACGACACACAGATTTTAGTTCATCAATGGATTTTATACCAGGAGAGGCAGCTAAGGCATTTGCATAACATGGCCTTATGTTATGGATCAGAATGTCAAATCTTTCAACTTCAGGTAACGGTTTACTTAAACGGGAAAACATACCGTGCATAATAGATAAATAAATTGTGATATTCTCATGTTCACCCTGAGTTCGTGATCTGATTTCATTACAAAGCTGATAGTCATAATCGGTGCTGCTAAAATCCTCCTTCAACAAAGAACAAAGATCAGACCATGAGTTTATTCTATCTTTATTATAGCGATACCAGTGCAATGCATCGTCGACAAATATTTCATAAGCCATGGTTAATATTTTTTCATAGGGTATACCTCTTGATTATACAAATTCTTCTATTTTTTGGATAAAGGAATGAACACAAGTAGACCCGGAAAATTTAAGTTTGTTAATGTCGGCAGATAGGTTGCGCTCACATGATACTGAAATAGTAGAAACTTCAAGATTGTTTTCAGTACCTGAATTAAGAGACTTGAGTTGAGAGCTTTGTGGTCTTAAGGAAGATAACTCATTTAATTGTGAATTTAGGCTAGCCATGCAAACTTTATATGAATCATTTACTTCTGATGAATTAGTAATTCTATTAATTCGATGATAAATATGGTGAAGTAGCGTCTCAGTTCGATAAAACATATTTTTATCGTATTTCGATTTAAGACTACTCAAATTGTTTTGTGATTTTAAAAGGGATTCTCTAACTTCTTTAATATCATCTGTGGGACCTAAATGTGATTCTAATATATCTTCTGGTGGCAGTAATTGAGATAGCTTAACAATTTGTTTTCTTAACTCTTGCACGGAATCTCCTGACCCACCACGAAGTTCTACTTCATATTGTAATTCTGCTTTTTGTAGGGAAAGAAATTTAATCGAATATGCCATAATGATAATTTACCACTTGTAGGGTAGGTGTTCGCGGGAACACCTTCAATAGCCCATGAGCACAAGTTATTTTATTTGGTCGCCGATCCTATCGTTTCTATTGGTAATTTATTTTGTCCAGACATAGGATTCCCCACTAAGAAGTAAACCACTCACCTTAACACCGACAGCTTCAGGAGATAATGGGTCGATCACCAATCGACTGGCCAAAGTTCACAGTAGTGCACTGGTTTCCAAATAAACTGCAATCGTCTTATGTATGGCGAAAACTGTTCTTTGCAATGTTTATTCACAATTAAACACAAAATAATAAAAATAATCCGATATATCACACCGAAAACCGTTAATTTCAACAACAATAATTTTATCACTCTCATGTATGTTTCGCGCCACCGAACGTTCGAGAGTCTCTTTTTTTTTTACTGGCCGCGGCATCCGTCGCCGTTGGGTCGTGGATTTGTAGTTTACCCACATATTGAAAAATACTATGCCTGAACATCCCCCCGCCTAACCAAGGTCCTCCTTGGTTCTTCATAAATTGGCAACCGACATAATTTAGAAACAGGGAGAAGTAAAGTACCGTTTTGTGTTCGAACCTCTGCAACCCTAATAATTCCATCTTTACCGGGCAAAAGTTTAACTAATCGACCGCGATTCCAATGAAGAGGACTGGTGTTATCTTCTTTAATCAACACTAATTCGTCTAATTTAGGGGATTCCGTAATCGAGTTCCATTTATACCGCTGTTGTAAGGTGTGCAAGTATTCGGTTTTCCATCGAGACCAGAAATGTTGAGACATTTTTTGAATTTGTTGAAAGCGAGACAACCGATGCATCTTTATTTCCTCATAAGGATATTCTGGTACAGCTACTAAAGGCTGACCAATTAAAAAATGACCAGGTGTCAATACTTGAAGGTCCGCCGGATCCGTACTGAGAGGGCACAGAGGGCGCGAATTCATGACCGCTTCTACTTTATGAAAGAAGGTCGTTAATTCTTCGAACGTCAACTTAGTCTCACCCAACACTCTCCGAGCATGATTTTTCGCCGATTTTACCGCTGCCTCAAATAAACCGCCATGATTTGGACTAGATGGAGGGTTGAAAAGCCATTTAATATTTTGCTGAACCAATTTCTGTTCCAACACCGAATTTTTACCTCGTAAAAATGTATATAATTCCTTTAGATATTTATTCGCACCCGTATAATTAGTACCGCAGTCCGATCGAATTAAAGAAGGAAGTCCCCGCCGAGAAACAAGTCTAGTCAAAGCCGCCATAAAAGCATCTACCGATAAATCCGAGACTATTTCCAAATGAACCGCTTTCGAAGCTAGGCATACAAATAAATATACACAAATAACATTTTTGAATTTTGGCATTCCGTAGTGAATTAGATTTTATATAAAATGGGCCCGCAAAATCCGTACCGACGCCAAAAAATGGCCTAACACCGTCGACTCTATCCCGAGGTAAATCTGCCATAAAGGGCTGTGTAAACCGAACTTTAGACCGATAACATTTAATGCATCGAAATGTGACGCTTCTCGTAACTCGTCGTGCTGAAACTATCCAATAGTTTTGATATAAAATGGCCGCTAAAGTATTAGCTCCGACGTGACAGTAAATATTATGATAATGAGTTACTAATAAATCCGTAAAATGACCACGACCAGGCAATAGAACTTGATGTCTGGCGTCAAAAGGTAAATTTGCGGCTCCGATCCGCCCACCGACCCGTAAAATTTCATCTTTGTCAATAAATAAATTTAATCTTACTAATGATGATTTAATTGGATTTTTATTTATAAGCGCTTCAATTTCATCATGAAAATACTGATGCTGAACAATCCGAATTAAGTGAGAAATGGCATTTCTACGTTCACATATAGAAATATTACCGATTAATCGTGAAGATTTGTTTTTACAATTATTAATGAACCTTTTAATATATATCATAACATTTACTAATTTTTGAAAAGAACTATATTTTTCAATTAAATTAAGTTCTGTGTTATAAATCGCTACATTAATCACTTTTGCCTTTAGTCCTGGCAACATATTTTCGGGAAATTCTAAATAATCCTGTGGCCAAGTAGAAGCGGGTTGATGCAACCACTGAGGTTGCCACCAAAGAGGATGCTCTATTAAATCTGATGCAAAGGCACCGCGGGATGCTATATCCGCACAATTCAATTCAGTTGGGACATGTCTCCACCGAATCTCTATAGTTTGAGAAGTTATTTGAGATACCCTGTTAGCTTCATATACTTGTAAAGTATGTACCGGTCGCTTAAGCCATGCCAAAACTATGGTACTGTCGCACCAACCTACAACTTCATGAAATATAACGTGGTCTCTCATAGAAGAGACAACATGATTAAAGAGTTTGGTTAAAAGCAGAGCTCCCTCTAGTTCTAGTTTCGGAATCGTCAATTTTCTTCTCAATGAGGCTACCTTCGACTTAGATATAAGTAGCCGAACGAGAACCTTTCCGTCCGGTAACTCCGTCCGAATATAAACCGCAGCGGCGTAGCCTAAAGAGCTGCCATCGCAAAAACCGTGTAGAGAATAACGTCCTAATCCATTACCATAAGATTTTAAACACCGAGGTATTTGTAATTTGCATAAATTTGGTAAATCCGAAATAATCATATCCCATTGCCGCTTAATATCGTCAGCAACTGGAGAGTCCCAATCGATTTTTTTAGAATTATCACAAATCCCGAGTAATTGTTGTAAAAGAATTTTTATTTTAAAAATAATAGGACAAATCCATCCTTGTGGATCGTACAAACGCGCTGATAGTGAAAGTATACCGCGACGTGTAACAGTAGACTTAATGATAGCATTAACGTGGTATGTAAAGCTATCTGAAACCGGGTCCCATAAAACGCCTAAAACCTTTATAAATTCCGAGTCGTCGGAGTTATCGAAACTTTTAGGAACTTCTAAGTGAGTAGTAGGTAAACCGTCCAATAGTTCTAAATTAATATACTCCTCCATAAATTCTATATATTTTAATTTAAACTCCGAGTCACGTTGCATTCTTTTTTCTATTGACAAAAATCTCTTTAAAGCGGTCTGCCTCGAGTCACCCAAACGCTGATGATCAGGTATAAGTGGCAAACGTACAATATATTTACCGTCTAAACCACGTGTAGTGCTAGAACAAAATAAACGTTCACATTCTATATCCGCCGGACTAATAAATTTACATTCGGGTGGTTGTTCATAACGCCAAAATTTTTCTACTGCTTGTAACAATTGAATAGCCGAAACGTTAGAAGCATAGCTCACAGTATCATCCGAGTTAGTATTTTGACTTGGCCCAAAAACTGCATAGTCAAAAATAGTACTTAACGCATAAGGCCCACCGGCCCCTAAGTCTATCTTCTCACCGTTCAAAATCTGACCTAAAATGTCGCAACCGAAAATTATATCTATATGTTTCATATGAAAAGAACCGTTATCTGAAATTATTAATTTTTTATTTGAAATATTTATTTTATTAACTAAGTAAGAAGTCGGTTTCTTTAAAACAACCGCCGTAACCGTTAACATAGGAAATTTTGTAATAATTGGCCGAAAATAAATTTTAACTACACTATTATTCTCTTTACTTTCAAAACCGCCTACGCCTACAATAGGCACATTTGAGTAATGTCGCTTTAAGCCCAAACGTGTCACCAAATCAGCTTTAATAATAGATATTTGGGAACCGAGATCGAGTAATGCTCGAACAAGCATAAATGAATTTTGAGATGATTTAACTTCAATTATAACCGTAGGTAATATAACATTATC